GCGCTCTCTTGTCGGTCTGCCAACGACCAGGTGAGAAAGTTCCTCCATACGCCGAACGAGTTAAGTTGACGTTTGATCGCGTTCTGACCGGGGAAGCGAAAACCGAAGCGGTGAAAAAAAACCTACAGGACGCGATGGCAAAAACAGCATTCCTACGAGGTTTACAGGATAAGCTGCGGCCGAGAGTGATGGGGAAAAAGCCCACCACCCTAGAATCCCCCATACAAATTGCACAGGATGAGGAGTCGTATTTGATGTCTCCTCACGATGAGGAAGTGACCACGTACGGACAGCCGGTCGATCTCAATAGCTTAGACAGCAAATTGCAAAGTATTCAGGAAGCTATTACCGTTCTTTCTATCGCAGCTTCCTCCGCGAGAAATGCACCTCAGGAGCGTGACGGCTCACGACCAGAGATGTCGCGATTTTCGGCGGCTGATCGTAGGTGTTACAATTGTAGTTCCCTACACCATCTCGTAGCCGCGTGCCCGAGTAGACCTAGAATTCGGTGTTATGAGTGCGGGCGAATGGGACACGGATGGCGGAATTGTCGGAGCACGAACTTCCAAGGATACCGCAAGGAGGAGCGCAGGAAGAGTACTAGGAGATCCCAATCTTCGCGCTCGAGATCTCTCTCCCCACGTAGGGAAAAAAGATCAAAGAGTAGAGGGAAGGCGGAATCCCGGCAAAGAAGGGACGACGAATACGATCATCGGGAGGATACCATTTCAAAAAACGGGCTGTGAGCTCCCCTGAATGCGGTAGGGGGAGCGGTTTGGATTTGTACGGGAGAAGTGACCTTGATAGAACGAAGGAGATAATGAGTTGGGGTAGGTTTCCCAAATGCCGCTGTGACGGAGATAGATATTTAGATGAGGGTAATGACTTTTTGTCCCATGTTTCTAAGTCTCCGACTAGTCCTATCGTAACGTTGGAAGTCGAAGGCGTTTTGTTGAGTTTTCTCGTAGATACAGGGAGCAAAGTCACGCTGTTAAGGAGAGACGCGTGGGAAGTACTATGTGTTCAAAATTGGGAAATCAAATCATTGAAAACCCCTTGTGATGTAACTCTGAGATCCGTCACGGGACATCCCATTGCGATTGAGGGAAAATATAGTTTGCATGTTCGTCTCCCAAGTCAAGGCGGGCGTCACGATTTTCTGGTCTGTCGGAACTTACCGGAATTCCCCGCGTCCGGTATTGTTGGCATGGATTTCCTACAGGGCTTCGGGGCGTGTATCGATCTAGAAACTAATACCCTTCGCGTTGGCGATAGCATCGTTCCGTTCCAGCGAGGGCGTCCCACTTATGCCGAGATACTCAGGAAACGTGCCCCTCAAGCCTCGACAAGAATAAAACGGATTCGCTTCAAGGATGAAATACAGGTGTACTTGCTGCCCTCGACGGAGAAGGTTCAGAAGTACGGGAGGAATCAATCTTTTGGGGTGAGAAATGAGACATGCCTAAGAGAGAGAATGGGGATCGTGTGGGAATCCGACGGGCAAGTGTGTTCGGTAGGCGGTAAATCGCCTCATAGACAGGTACATATTGGGTTGACAGGACGGGCAGTTTTACCTCTCCTAAATCGATTTGCCTCTTTGCAATCAATCGAGGAGGGCGGGAGTTCTCATAGTTCCGATTCCTCGGAAGACGAAGCAGAAGTGGAACAGGTAAGGGAAGCCGAGCAACGCAGGCGGGAAAGACAGTAGCCCAGGAGAAATCATGTGATAACAGAAAGCGTAGATGAACCGACGAGAAGCTGGCATGAACACCCCATATCGGTGACCGTTATTATACTCCCACACCGGACCGAGGACACCCTAACGGTGATTTGTGGGAAACCCAATAACCCCCTGACTGGACGGATGGTTTTCCACCCAGCGACGAGAAAGGACGTGGTAAAGCCTCATTTCGGTGAAGCGTGAAGGGTCAATGCCGAAAGGACAAACCTCGAAATTAGGACTACGTTTTGTGGGCCCTTTCCAGATTGTCCGTATTTTTTCTCCCTCTACTTTGGAGATAACAGCAATGACGGGTTACAGGGGTAACGTACGAATTCATTGTGATAGGGCAATTCCTTATAAACAACCTCCGACAAACCCGCCCGCCCGTGAAAAGCATGGGTTATGTCCAAGTGCGCAAAGGATTGATAAAGAGGGTAAAGTACAGCTTCCTAATTCATCACATTTCCATCCCATATTCTTGGAGGAATCAACCGAGTATTTCCCCGAATTACCACCCACTGGACGGACGGAATGTTCCCAGTCCACCCGGAGTACGACCTTAGAGGATCAGGCAAATGATATCGTCTCACACGATACGAGTACGAGAGAAAGAGTTGTTTCGGATTCTCCGGAGTCTTCGCGAATGTCGGAAATCTATGAAGGACATGTCTCTCGTTCTGGATCGGAGGAGTCAAATATCCCCTTACATAGGTGCTGGCTCGCACCTCCCCGACTTCACTGGCCATCCCTACGAGCAGTCCCTCCACATAGCGGTAGTGATGAGGTCCGTTTTCCGGGTACAGTTAGGCATGAGCCGATACCGGATGAGTTCAGCTCCCCATTAGGGTCGCAGCAGGTTGAGAGAGTGGTTGCCGAAGAGGTCGGCCGAGAGAGACCTCGTTAGTTTGGGACCTCAGCTCTTGCCATATCGCCTTAGATCAAGAGGACCAATCGCCGACGAGCCTCTCCCAGAAAGGAGACAGTCGAGACGGGCGACAGCAAGGGTAGATGAGGGTACGGATGTTTTAGAGACGGTTTGTACGGACTTGGAGAGGATGCGTTTAGATAGGTAATGGTCAGGAGAAGGTTTACTGGACAGAAGGCCTAAGAAGCACTCAATGGGAAAACGACTCAGTTCTAGGAGAACATGCGTTAGAGAAAATAGGAGGGTAAGGCTTGGAACAGTCCAAAAACAAAGTCATAAAAGCCGTTGTGGTATAGTAAACAGATTCAGGAGGACTCATTGTTCAACACGAGGTCGTAGAAAGGGAAATTCGCGGGTAGCACAATATGTCAATCCCGCCGGTAACAACAATGCTATTACCTCCAACGGAAAAAAATACACCTAGAAGGCGGTGAGAGAAAAGGGTGCAACAGCGCATCGTAAAACAATAAATGACACCCAACTTCACGTCCTAGTTAGGTAGTGCAAAACAAGAAAATAGAGGAGCACCGTTAACTCATTTTAGATCCTTTCCAAGGGATGAAGGTCACATCTGCGCGAAGTAAATATTGTGCAGTTTACGGAAATTTCCCAATGCGGATAACATGGACTTCATAGAAGAAGTTACAATTGACTATAAGACCCCCGCTCCATGTCAACGGCACCCCAGACAGAGAGAGAGGAGGCGGCGGGAAGGAGGAAGGTCCGTTCGATCGGGACATACGATCCCCGGACTGGTAAATGAGGAGAACGCTACTAACATTCTCATCAGTTCGTGACTTAGCGCGGGTGAAGGGGTCTGTTCTTCAGACACACTTCAAGACATCGGGGTTCGTCACCCGCATATGACGAATTTCCAGCAGGACACCGGCAGAAAGGCGCCACATGATGCATCAGAGAAGACAAAGAGTTTCCTTTTCTTTATTTTACAGAAATGTCGGAAAAACACATTTCACTCCTAACGTTTTTCAATAAAAGTCGACAAATTTTTTTACGGGCACCGAAGTTGATTACTTATATATGAAGTGGCCTTAATGGTAGCAGTTTTTATTATTTTTATTTTTCGTATTTGAAGGAAAAAGAGACGTAGCAGTCAAGCGCCGGAGTTATATTTGGTCTGAAGATATGTGCAGATGTATTTTATTTTGCTGATTGAAGAGTTTTCTGTAAATAGTCGTAGGCACCATGTTAATACGAGGGAAATCATGTTGTCAAACGTTTGTTGATTGCGAGCAAGATGAAAGTGTATGTCTTGACGTACCATTGTTAATTATGTATAATTTTGTCTTGAGGGTTGTTATGTTTCTGAATTGTCCTGTATGATGTGAGGGCCAAATATTCTTCCGGATTGCAGGACATTGGGTTTAATAGTACCGTATAAAACTTATATGGATTCGCAGCATAGTAACGCCGTAGGGACGATTTGGAGCCAAATACTTATACGTTTTCTTTCGTAGCAGCATAGGTCAGGAAGGCGAGAACATCACCCGGAACTCATTGGAACACCTTGCCGGATGCATCGCCTGGGTGCCCAAAGGGCACCCAAACATTTGGGGCCGGAGGATTGTGGGCTTAGCGACGGACCTCACCAAGGAGTGGAGGAGGAGCCACCCCCTACCGGACACCTCCCACCTCCAAGAGACCTCCCCTGGACCGGGACAAGGGGGTGGAGGCGACTCTAGATGGTGGACTGGAGACAGAGTGGATGTGATCGTGTGACATTGTACAACGGTGTGTATTGTATGTCTGGATTGTATAGGGACCTGTAAATTATTCCCGTCGTCCTCGACTTATCAACTTCCCTCCTACCTGGTGCCTGTAGACTGTATGAGTGAGTTGTATACCTTCAATATATCCATTGTTATTGTTGCTGAACAGCCTAGTCCTTCCGAATCTCACTGGTACTTATCTAATTGGAGTCAGTCCGTATATAATAGCGCCCTCTTACGTACACGGAGAACACGTGATCCCATTCGGCGGCCTCGCCCACAATGACGACCATGAGGAAGTGGTTTGGCCGTTTTCGAACTGGACATTTTGACCTCACGGACGAGCCATGCCCCAAATCTGCGACAAATGACGAAAATGTGGCTATCATCAAAAGGCTCATTGAAGAGGATCCTTACTTGACCCTTGAGGAGCATCTATCTGGGATTGATGCCACGTCAATTGGAGGAATCCTGCGCGACCACCTGAACATGACGAAAAAATCTTGCCTGTGGGTCCCACACGTCCTGACAGCGGAGCTAAAACAACACCGGGTCACTTTTGCAAAATGGTTCCTGGAAACGGGCCTGATTAGTGATGATAATGAGATGGTCATGAAACAGCCAATATTGAAGAAAACTTCATGTAGAAAATGACTAGGATCACATTCAATACCATTCACAGATGCATATTTTTGGATGACAGATAAGGGAATAATAATTTAAAAAAATGGTAATGATGACAATGAAGAGACCTTCTGCTCCCGGGACTTGCGAAGCTGGAGGCATCGAAGCTTATGCCAGATTCCTTGACACATTCGCTCCAGCCGTACATCCCGACCAGACTCAGGTAAAGATTGGGAAAAGTTCCACTGCTCTCGAATGATCCTACGGGCCTCCAAAAATCTTCCCGTCTGAATCAGGCTCAATGCCGCAAATAGCTTACACTTTGAGGCTGTGATTGGATCTCCTTGTGTCAATGCAATCTTCAGCTGCTTCTGTGAGATCTGACCTGCCATCTCTGCCTGCTCCAAATGAGAACATTCAAGCAAGAGCTCACTTAGTATTCAGCAATGCTCAACCTGGATCTAGATGAGAAGTAAAAAACATGAAAGAGAGAGTATTTAAAGGAATAAGTAGGGTGGATTTTTGAAAAATTTTCTGCTCAAAAATCCACCCGTAGCCTCTTGTTAGCCTCAGAATCTGGAAGCTTGGAAAAATTGACTGGATTCCATTTCTTCTGCAAAAATTAGAAATGTCAAAGCAGTAAATCTTTTCTTAAATACAATCAAAATTTTAGTAAGACAAACATGCACATTGCCAGTTGGAGTAAATGAAGGACAGAGTTCTGGTCTTTTTTTGTCGAAGCAAGATCTAAATGTCAGAAACACAAAGCTGCATGAGAAGAATCCTTGGCAGAAACTGATTCTTTTTCCCTAGTAAGACCCATATTTTTCCACCTCACTACATTTCCTTCTCAGCATCCCAAGGAAAACTTTCTTAGTGAATCACATGAAATTCACTAGGGATAACCTTGCAAGGGGATTCTTCATATTCCCTTGTCCTGAAGTCATACTACACCAGTTGCTTTTTCTTTCTACCTTGTTCATCCTTTATATGCTAGTTTTTGAACTGGAAAGGGGCACTTGAGTCATCTTCCTTTTCCATCTTCAGCTGGTCCCACACCAACAATTCCTATCTCATTCCCAACTCCAAACTGTCTAATGTTACCTTTTCCATTCCACTACCATGACAAATTATCTATTTTTTATTGTTTATATTACTATACTGCTCCCATTCCCAGAGTGTATCACTTTTAGAAGCTCTTTTGGATTACAAAGAGTTGCATTCTCAACAACAAATCTCAAGTGATTGTATGAAGCAGGAGGCACAAAGAAACCAATAATAACCTTTTCTTTCCACTAAGACTCCAGTGAAGAATGCAAAAATAACCAGAGGTTGGCAGTTTCCAGCAGGAGTTGAGTTCTCCACTTCTGAAAGATGTGTCCAGCTGAGCCAAATACTCTCTCAGATGGGGCTGAGCAATAACAAGAAAAAGGCTCTCCTGCATACTCCTAGAGCTGCCATGTTTCATTCCCATCTCACTCAATTCCCATGGCATAGATTCCTATCCCTGCTACTATCACACTTGCAGAACTACACTGGTTCCCCTCACACAGAAGTGGGAGTCCCACATCCCTCTACATTTTTACCTACATTCACCCACAAGCAACCCCTTATCAGTTCCCTGGAATTAATACAAAGGGATAGATGAAAGTTTGTTCCAAAAAAAAAAAAACGCAGGCCATGCCAAAACTATAGGGACTTTCAGTGGTACAATGTATGTCCTGCTCAGCTGTAGAGAGAAACACATTGCAGCACAACATTTGTTCCACGCATCCAATAGAGGTTAACATGGCCTTCAAGACCTTATTTATTGATGATGCTCAACTTCTAACCAGGAGCCATGTATTTAACCTGTTGAGGACTAGGTTTTTTGGCCATTGCAGTACCCCAGGGCCTGAGTTAAAAAAAAAATAAATAAATACAAATTTGATGTATGAGCAATATTAATGAATATATGTATAAAAGGCATTGGCGCCCTCTGCATGCGAACAATTGCGCATGCAATGTGGAAAGTGCGAAAACCTCATATGAGGCACGTAGTCCCCACGCACAAGACTATGATTGGGCCTCATATGAGGCACGTTGCCCTCAACAGGTTAAAGCATTATTCAGACAAACCGAGAGCTCAACCTGGCCAAGAGAAACTTCAGTCACACTTTCAAGATACGTGTCTGAAACCTTTTCATTTAAGTCTCATCCCACACCTTATGGAAGTATTCATGTAGTATAAGACTTGTCTTTCTGATATGTGGTTCCCATCCTGTTTCTTGCCTGAATTGCCTTGGAGTTTTATATCATTCTTGGTCATATGGTAGAAAGACACATAATACTCAAGCTGTGTGGAAAGCCTGGCAGCCATCCTGGTCAAGGCTTAGTTACACATCTTAAAATAGATTTAATTCAGCATTAATTTGGTGATAGTTTCATATTTCCATATCAGTTACTGAGTTCAATTTGTTCAAATTTCTTTCCTTATTTCTGCTCCACTGCATATAAAACCAGAAATTCTATGGAAGACCATATTCTGGAAACTCTACGTCCACAGTGCATGGTAGTGCTTTATTAGTGCACCCAAAATGTTGGTGAGATAGTGGGGTGGAAGAATATTGCATGAATTTACTACATTCAAACTGGTAGAAAATTGGAAGAAGGATAGCAGACTTCTTACACAGTATGAGTAAGTCTCCCCAAGACTGGAGTAGGCTCCTCCAAGGGTGGACAACCAGAACATGAGGCTACTTAACTCTGCATGCTCCACAACCAATCGGAAAATCTTCTGTGACCTATATAATAGAACAAGAAAGACACAAAGGAGGGTCACATGAAGATATTCAATATTCAACATAATTTCAGCCAACATCACTTACTTATTTTTCTCAACAGAATTTCCAAGATTTCCATTTCTGATTAATAATTATTATAAAAATCTCCTTGGCACTTGTACTACTCTCATTAAGGATTATGTGCATCTTAATGTATTTCTTAAGTAATCTAAGTGAAGTAATATGGCTGTTCAAGCCTATCACAAAGAAACAGATTTCTGTTGATACTATCTATTTTGGAATTCCTGTTGCTCAAACCTAAGTGATCTGACTACTGAGGCTGGGCAATTTGATATTTATGGGTACATTGGACCCCTACATGCAGGTCTTGTGGCTTACATGCCTTTTGTGGACCTTGAAAAGGCATATGACTGTGAGCTACTGTATGCTTAGAGGGAAGCTGTTAGAACTGCAAAAGGATGCAGTCAATGGTAGCTACTGAAGGTCATTCTGCCTATATAGAGCAAATATATTAGGTTGTTCCGAAATAAATGTCCGATTTTTGAAGTGTAATGTTTTGTCTATCATTATACCTGTCAATTTTGCAATAACCAGTTATTGTTATATACTGTTTTTTTCAGTAAACCTTTCTCTATGTAAGCCACTTAGTTGCTTTTTATTTATCTTTAGCCTAACGTTCCTGTAGCTGCCAAAGCGAACGATGGAGAAACGCAACTTTCGTCCGATTTTTCTTTACGAGTTCAAACTTGGAACTAATGCTGCCGAAACGGCGAATAAAATCAACACTGCGTTCGGCCAAGGATCGGTCACGGATCGCACCATTCGACGCTGGTTCGAAAAGTTTCGTAACGGAGATGAGACTCTCGAAGAACAGGAAGGTAGAGGTCGGAAAGAGTCTCTTGACGACGCCGTTCTGAAGACTATGGTGGAACGTGATCCCCATGTAACGGTCCGAGAGCTTGCGGAAGAATTGTCTGTTGGCATCGCAACCGTTTCCCGTCATCTGAACGACATTGGAAAGACGAAGAAGATGGACAAATGGGTTCCGCACGAACTCACCGCGAGTAATCGCACTCGCCGATACGAGATCAGCTCCGCATTGCTTCTACGCAACACAAACGACCCTTTTCTCGACCGTATTGTTACGTGCGACGAAAAGTGGCTCCTGTACGACAATCGTAAACGATCGGCGCAGTGGCTGGACCGAGATGAGCCTCCCAAGCACTTCCCAAAGCCAAGCGCTCACCCGAAGAAGACTATGGTCACTGTATGGTGGACTTCAACAGGAGTGGTGCACTACCACTTTCTGAAACCTGGTGAAACAATCACAGCGGAGAAGTACTGTGACGAACTGGACACGATGCACGAGAAACTTCGCAAACTTCAGCCTGCATTGGTCAACCGAAGGGGGCCGATTCTGCTGCACGACAACGCCCGACCGCATGTCGCACATCTCACCGTACGCAAACTGAATCAGCTGGGCTACGAAACTCTGCCTCATCCACCATACTCCCCAGACATATCACCTACGGATTACCACTTTTTCAAACACCTGGATCACTTCGTCAAGGAGAAACACTTCCATGATCAGACCTCTGCCGAAGATGCCTTTAAGGATTTCATCGCCTCCAGAATCCAGGATTTCTACTCGACTGGGATCAACAAGCTTGTATCTCGTTGGCAGAAGTGTGTTGAAGCGGATGGTGCTTACTTCTATTAAAAATGTTCATTATCAGCTGAGTTATGACCCTTCAAAGTTTGCGATCGAATTCGGACATTTATTTTGGAACAGCCTAATAGAAGCAGTGTTTTGAGTGAGTAGGATGAGTTCTGACTCTCAGTATATGTTGGGCAGTCAGAGTAGTACTCTCCTTTCCTCTTCCTTGTGTACATGGTCCTCATTAACTTTTCATTGTGGCAATTGAGTAAACTTAATGGCAGGAAGCTTAGCTATCAGTGTGGCAGTCTCAATTTTATATTGTGGACTCTCCTAAACTCACAGAACATAGGATGAAAACTTTTTTTTTCTCTGCCTCTATTCTACTCCATATGACCTTTTGCTGTGTGGTTACAAATATGCTATAAAAAAAATTAAACAAAACTAGCACTGGGGATGATGCCACTTGCTACAAAACTTAGTGGCAAAAGGGTTAATAGAGTAAATATAGAAATAAATATCTGGAGATAATGAATATGTCATAGGGTTTTGTGGAATTCAGGGGGATTCCGAATCTCCCTAGGGAGAGACAGGATTCCACTAAACCTGCAGGTTTAGTGGAATCCTCTCAAAGTCATGTCAATGTCACTACACCCTAGGGAGATTCCATATCTCCCTGGCTTGATAATTACCCTTCCCACAGCTTCTCCCGCCAAGGGCAATTCTCCTTTCATTTACGTTTATGGGATTATTTAAGGCTGAAGAATACCATGTTATAATCTGTTCCCGACCAAAATTCTTGGATATGGAATCCCCCTAACACTTTTATTGTGGGTAGCCATAATGTGATTAACTGGAATTGACATGTGAGTGACACACTTTTGGGAAAGAATGCACAGGGTTGTCAGATTCTTTTGAAATCCTCCCATGGCTGCCACGACATCTGCAGGAAACTCACACAAAGGAAATGCATAAGAATCCATTTCAGGCGTTGATAACCTTATTTATTTTTATAACCCTTCCCATAATGGGCGAGGGCAAAACCCTAGAATTTATTGCTCAAAACCTCATCCGTCAAGCTTATTAGCTGTCTTTATTTAGAAGTATCAGAAAACTTTGGTTGGGAATAGACTATAGCTATCATTGAGAATGCTGCGCCTGATTCTGCCTGCCACTAACAAAGAAATAGAAGCTTGGAAGACAGTGGTTGTGTCAATGAAGGCGAAGGCTTTGAGGCCAGAAACAAGCTATGGCAATGGGGGTGCAGGATCCATCTGCAAGTGCAACAAGTCTTGTCACACCAACAAGTGCAGTGTAAAAAAAAAAACTAGGCATAACGTGCTCATCCAAATGTCATGGGGGAAAGCCGTGCAGCCTCCCAATTGTTAATTGTTATAATAATATTGTTAATTGACTCCGCTTCGAATCTTATTGACGTTGATTTTTTTATTTCTATACATGGACTGAAATGAAACTCCATTTCCCCCAGGTGTCTTGATAATTCTCTTTCTCCCTAGGTAGGTAAACAAAATGTTAGAAGCATTGGCAGCTAATCTGGGTGATTTGGAATCCCCATAGGGGGAGGTGACATAATGGAGGTTTTTCTTGTCTCTCCCTAGGGAGATTCGGAATCCCCCTGAATTCCACAAAACCCTATGACAAATACATAGCCAAATAACATAAATGCATGAAAAGGGAGAAGTGTAACTCACCAGGCAAGGTCAAGCTTGCATTGCTGAGGCCAGGTCATCTGGATAGTAAGAAGGGAGTCTGGACTCGAGGAATAATGCCGGAGCACTGCCCGTCTGTACACACGGCTGCTTGACACCTCCGACACAAAGGCTGATGCAAGATATGCATCTACCGAGAGGGTACAACATTGACGCATCACTGAAACCAGAATGAAGCCTCCTTTGACCTGGGAGAGGTGAAATGAGACAAATGGCTTGGGTCGGGCCACTCTGGACAGCCTGATCCAAAGCAGGTCCCATTGGAGACCATCTGGGCCTATTACGTCCACGTACAACATCCCCTACTATTTCCACTTCCTTCTTTCTTCCCTCACTTCATTTTTTCCTCCTGAATACATCACATATTATTGATACTTCTGTTCTGCATCAACTCCATGAGCTACAGAGAAAGATGGAGTATATGAAAAGAGTTACAAATAAAATCTTTCATGGCTGATTAGTAACTAGGAACAATAGATATGGACCTGTGACTAATTTTCATGGATTGAAATTTAGCTATAAATATAAAAAGTAATTTAAAAAAATTTCAGGAAATGATCACATTATATAAAATCCCAGCGCCTACACTTTAATGTTGTATTCCTGTTAAAATATCAAAGCTTTGAAGTTCAACTCTTCACAGACCTGTCTTTCAAATGATCATTCTAACGTGAAAAGTATAACGAAAAGCTAACAGTGTGAATACAGAGGCAAGATGCCCTTATATATATTGCAGAATGTGGGAAGTTTTCCCAAGGAGACTCAGTCATCTCCTTCCTGCTCACAACAGACCTGTATCTTGACATCAACTTGAAATGAAGTACAGAGAAGGAAGTAAAAAAAAATCAATATCATCTGCAAAAAATTGCAGCAAACATCACAATTCAGGAGGCAAAAGAGTCTTCCTTCTTGTTGAGTGGAGGCCAGGAAAGATAGACATCATTGTGCAGCTGTGGGGGGACCCATGCCAAGTATTCCTTCAGCAGACCTGGAAACACACATCATATTTCAGTCTCATAGTCTGGGAATATGATAAACAGCAATGCTAACAACAGGAATTTGAAATTAACACGTTGACAACCAGCCTATTTTTGCTTGTCTGCCGCGTGGGACCATGCGCATTTTTTTTGTCAAAAAATGCATCCTGCCATCAGGACGCATGGTCCCAGAAAACATTTTTTTTTGCCGAGTTTTTTTAAAATGTTGAATTTTTTTAAATTTTTATCAGTAATTACGAAATCATAATCTTCTGGAACATTTTCAACAGTTCCAGAGGGTATTCGTTGAAAAAAAATCTGCATCCTGGCATCAGGACGCATTGTCGCCAACGTGTTAACTATCTGCTTCGTTTCTGGGATGGAACAAAGAGTTTCAATGTGGGTAGAATTAAATTAATAATTTACTTAATGTAAAGGAAAATTCTAGCAATAACTGTATCATTTTATGAATATCAACATAATTGCAAGATGGAACCACAATTTCTTTACTGATATTCTAAATGCTAAAATAATTACAAAATTTTCAACTGACACTTCTGACTCAAGGACACATCACCTCTTGGTAACAGAAAGTACTTGCATGGCTGACCATCATGGTCTACATTCTTCTTAAGGGGAGGTAAACTGCAGACATCTGAGAATTTTCACCATTATATTGAATAATCTAGTTCTAGTGCAAAATCTACAGGTTTTTATTTCTAAAGCTCAAAGACTTATGTACTAACAATGTACTTTATGTACTAACAAGCAGTATATTGAATACTAGCGAGTTTGGTTGCCCGAAGGGCAAACAAACTCTCTATGGTTCCATTATATTATATATGGATCAGCTGAAATTGTTAAATGTACTGCAATCAAAATAATTCCATTGCCATCCCTGGTCATCCATCATTGAGAAACTTCCTGGGTGAAATGAAATATCAGGTTCTTGGATTTAATGACAAGCTGGTGCGAAATTGCCTTGGCCCAAGCTACTTTAGGAAGTTTGGGATGATACAGTTCTAATTTCTGCATATCATATTGGTCTCTCCCAGCATTTGATATTTTTGGATTAGGCTCCCAGGAATCATGGGACGTCTTAAAGTTTCCATGCTTAAGTTCCATAGCATATGAGACATCATTTTTCCCTTTAGTCCCCATGCTAATAAAAAACTTTTCTCCCTCAATTATTATTGATACTTGGCCTTGACTGAATGTGACTTCACAAATTCAAAATTAAGTACTTAGCTTGCATCTACATTGTCTCAAGGGCTTCACATGAAATGATTTGAAAATCTTGGGTGCTAGCATAACATGAGGCTCTAGCTTCTTGCACTCAGGTGACTGTAATTGCATTTCAAGAGTTGGCAAATGTTTAATTTATGAAAACTCACATGTGTTGTCTGTTGACCAGGCCTCCTCAAGCTTCCTTCGTGTGTCAATTCGTCTGCTGATGAGGGCTTGAAGGAAGGCATTGGTCCGTGACTGGAGTCGAGCCCAGGACTTGACCATGGTTGATGGAGGGGAAAGGAGTGAGGATGAAAACTTCTTCAGAGATGGAACAATGGAACCATCAAGAAAGAACACCCCAAACCAACGAAAGCGGTCCAGGACATCAGGATGTTCTATTCTAACTCGAGGTAGTTCCCAAGCCTCCTTTCCAAAGGTACCTGTGACCCAGCACACAACACGATCGCCTTCTGAGTCATATGAGGGTGGGGGATCCTCCAGGGGAGTTAATATGTTGCACTGTTTTGGGGCAAAGGTTGGCAGCCATTCTGGTTCGATTGCTACTACACCTGAAAAGCATTCAAGGTGACATCATGATAAAATCAAGAAAAATACTGTTACAGAAATTAAGAAAGAGAAAAACACAACAGCCAAGCAATTCACTCATTGCCACAAGAAACACAAGGTAGTGACAAGAAAATATAAATGAACCAGGACTCATAAACTTGTCACAGTGTATCCTTGACACATTTTCTTGAAGGGAGTCAATTTTGCAAAATACAGGGTGGTCCAGGTCAAGTGTTACAAACAAAACTGCAATTTTCTTAGCAACAGCATGTTTTATTAATTTGAAATTTACACAGCATGTTCCTGATATAATGTACCAAACGTAACATAAGTTTCACTCAAAGTGACCACCTTTGGCTTTGATAATGGCCTTCAACCTCTTCTCGAAGTTGTTGACGCTGTTCCTCACCAATTTCTTTGGAATTTTGCTCCAAATACAAACCAAATCTTGTCTGAGATGAACCAGACTGTGGTGGGACTTGGAACAGGCCTTAGATTTGAAGATCGGTCACATGGCATAGTCAAGAGGGTTCAGATCTGCAGATGACTGGACCACTCTTCCTTGGTCAAGAACCTTGGCAAATTCTTATGACATCAGTTATGGGTTACATTAGCCATATGAGACGTTGCTCCATCCTGCTGGAAAGTCCAAGGCTCATCCTCAAACAGATCTTGAGCCCATGGGGGACTTGCCCTTGTTGTGATGGCAGCCCACACCATAACTGAGGCTGGCTTCTGGGTGCGGAACACCATTCAAGCATGGTCAGGAATCTCCTCTTGACTTTGTGCTAAAACCCGATCATTTTGCCCATTGTGGACTACCTGCACCAAGAATAACTTCTCGTCCAAGAAGATGATGTTGGGGGATGAACTATTCTTGAGCTTCTCCAGCATCTTTGGGACAGTCTCCTACTGTTGGTGGCTGTACTGAGGAACTGTTGCTTCTGGAGCCAGCAGGAGGTGCACCCTAGGTTGTTCTTGACCATCCTCATCATCGTCAACCTTGAGACATTCATCTCCTTTGCCATCTTCCTGATGGACCTGTTGGGATTGTGCCAAATCCAGAGCCTGATTTGGTTGACCAATTTATTAATTCTCGTCATTTTCCTGCTGCCTCCAGATCATTTGCCAGTAAAGCCTGTCGCAAGGTATCCATCAAATATCCATTTGATGAAGGCTCAACTCCGAGTCAAGTCTTTGGGGTAAGAGGGGACTTTGAAATTTTGTTACACTTGACCTGGACCACCCTGTACATCCTAGTCTGCAGGACTCATCTGCCTGCATTTTTTGCTTTGCAGATAAGTCCAGCAGTCAGGGCCACAACAGACAGTAGGAAAGTGTTTTTGTGTTTTTCCAATGAGATCAGACTTTCAAATAGGAAATGCTGTATATTCAGGGATTATATATTGGGTCAATCAGAAAGTTCTGGCAGTTTAAAAAATTTTCCAGAAAAAAGTTTATGGAACTTTCTTGAACCTTCTATAGTAGCAGTATATAAAGGGTGTGTGGGTGTGATTACGCAGCAGTTGCTTAGTCGTTCAAAGCCTATAACCATGACTTCCAAAATCGACTTTAACAAGAGTGCCCAACATCAGTGCCTTCTTTACGACTTCCTATCTGGCATCACAGCAGCTGAATTGAGTCGCTGCAACTACGCTGCATTTGGCCAAGGTGCAGTTTATGAAAGGACAGTGCAATGATGGTTCGATCGTTTCCGGTCTGGAAATGACAGCCTCAAGGATGAGCCCAGGTCAGGCCGCCCATCTGAAATCGACAACGAGCAGTTGCAGCACACAGTGTAAGCCAATCTGAGGCAAAGTACCCACAACTTAGCAACAGCACTTGGCTGCACCCAGTCCACAATTGTGATGCACCTGGTTGCAATTGGCAAGAAAAGCAGCAAGTTGGGTCAGTGGGTACCCCACAATCTGACTGACCACAACTGCAAACACTGTGCTGAGGTGTGTACTTCACTGCAGTTGTACGAGCACACAAACGACTAGCTGGATTCCGTAGTCACTGGAGACAAAAAGTGGATGCTGTATGTCAACTACTGATGCAGGCACCAGTGGGTCGATGCTGATGCCCAGCCAGAGCCAGAGCCGAAAAGTGACCTGCACCCCCGAAAAGTCATGTTGTGCCTTTGGTGGGACGTGCAAGGTGTGATCGACTCTGAGCTGCTCCCACCTGATACCAGCATCACCGCCGCCTACTACTGCAATCGGCTGCAGAAGCTCACCGACAAACTCCGCACAGTGAGGCCAGGGCACAGTCACATTTGATTCCTGCAAAACAACACAAGGCTGCATGTTGTGAAGATCACATGGCAGAAACTGCTGGATCTGGGCTGGGAGGTTCTGCCTCATGCTCCGTATAGCCCAGATCTGGCGCCAGCCAATGACCATCTCTTCCGTGCTCTGGACAACCGTGTTCGCCAGAAAAGGTTCAACGATGACGCCAAGGTTGAAAACTGGCTGACTGATTTTTTCTACTTACAGCCAGGGCTCAGTTCTACAGGGATGGAATCAGGAGTCTGTCTGATCATTGGCAGAAGGTGATTGACTGTGATGGCGATTACTTCATTGAATGAACTTTTTTGCTTTTTTTAAAAAACTCGGTTGTATGGAATGTTCTCGAAATGGCCAGAACTTTCTGATTGACCCAATATTATATAGCATACTTTCTGCCAAATACTGTAGCATGAAGTCATGCCTTTTCTAGGCCAAATGATGGCAAGTGATCCCAGGAAAGCAAAAATAGACAGACATACCTCCCAAAGCAGAGTTCATTTAGCTGCATTTTGAAAATGGACAAGATGACTTTCTATAGTAAAGCAAAAATGAAAATGTGTTTTTGTGAATGAAGTTTCATTCCAGGATTAATCAAAAACTGAAAATGTAATCACTAAGTCTGTGATTTAATACAAAATATTAGGAGCCTTGAGTGCCTGGAATTCAAAACCCATTGTAGGCCCTAATGAGCAGTGATCGCTTTTAGGTTTAGATATGGAAATGAGTTATGGGGCAACAAAGTTTTCATCATGGGACACAAAGGCAAGTGCAAGAAGCCCTCAGGAAACGGAAGATAATCTTAGGAACACAGAGAGCTTATATTAGGCTGTTCCAAAATAAATGTCCGAATTTGATCGCTAACTTTGAAGGGTCGTAACTCAGCTGATAATGAACATTTTTAATAGAAGTAAGCACCATCCGCTTCAACACACTTCTGCCAATGAGATACAAGCTTGTTGATCCCAGTCGAGTAGAAATCCTGGGTTCTGGAGGCGATGAAATCCTTAAAGGCATCTTCGGCAGAGGTCTGATCATGGAAGTGTTTCTCCTTGACGAAGTGATCCAGGTGTTTGAAAAAGTGGTAATCCGTAGGTGATATGTCTGGGGAGTATGGTGGATGAGGCAGAGTTTCGTAGCCCAGCTGATTCAGTTTGCGTACGGTGAGATGTGCGACATGCGGTCGGGCGTTGTCGTGCAGCAGAATCGGCCCCCTTCGGTTGACCAATGCAGGCTGAAGTTTGCGAAGTTTCTCGTGCATCGTGTCCAGTTCGTCACAGTACTTCTCCGCTGTGATTGTTTCACCAGGTTTCAGAAAGTGGTAGTGCACCACTCCTGTTGAAGTCCACCATACAGTGACCATAGTCTTCTTCGGGTGAGCGCTTGGCTTTGGGAAGTGCTTGGGAGGCTCATCTCGGTCCAGCCACTGCGCCGATCGTTTACGATTGTCGTACAGGAGCCACTTTTCGTCGCACGTAACAATACGGTCGAGAAAAGGGTCGTTTGTGTTGCGTAGAAGCAATGCGGAGCTGATCTCGTATCGGCGAGTGCGATTACTCGCGGTGAGTTCGTGCGGAACCCATTTGTCCATCTTCTTCGTCTTTCCAATGTCGTTCAGATGACGGGAAACGGTTGCGATGCCAACAGACAATTCTTCCGCAAGCTCTCGGACCGTTACATGGGGATCACGTTCCACCATAGTCTTCAGAACGGCGTCGTCAAGAGACTCTTTCCGACCTCTACCTTCCTGTTCTTCGTCTCAGAGTAGAGGCAATGCTTTGAAAAGCTTGGTCGCAGCTTACCACGCTAGGCACTGGCTAGGAACCGGCTTGCGTCACAACTAAAATAAGCGGCAAAGCCGTCGTAATCAAGGTTCAAACTTGACGTAAAGAAAAATCGGACGAAAGTTGCGTTTCTCCATCGTTCGCTTTGGCAGCTACAGGAACGTTAGGCTAAAGATAAATAAAAAGCAACTAAGTGGCTTACATAGAGAAAGGTTTGCTGAAAAAAACGGTATATAACAATAACTGGTTATCGCAAAATTGACAGGTATAATGATAGACAAAACATTACACTTCAAAAATCAGACATTTATTTCGGAACAACCTAATAGTTTCAGAAACTGGGCTATAGGCAATTAACATGTCAGGTACTGAATTTGAATGTCACAATTCCTTTTTGATTGCATGTATCATACTGATGAAAATTGCTACATGTAATGATGCCAATAAAGAACAAAGGAAGATTTATCTGATGCAAATTGGTAAAGGTGATAGAGGACTAGGGAAGGGGGACAGACCACGGAGGTAGACCTTGTTGGACTGGAATGCCTCAAGGAAGATGAGGAATTCAGGAGATGAAGTGAATAGGACAGAAGAGGGATGGATCCAAGCAGGATCCTCCATCCCAAGCATCTGATATGCCCGCTTCAGTTGCTTTTTTTCCCTCTCTGGTCCAGGTCCCATCTTCTTTGCAACCTGGTCCACCAGACCACTTAGTAGCAACTGCCTCAACAGTCGCATCTATCACATGGACAATGAATCATCAATCATACTTAGAACTAGCATGACTCTTCAGAAGAATTATATAATCTGATGTATTTACAGACTGGTAGAAGATACTTTCACACCAAACTGGCACACTGTAATTTTAACAATTGAAAAATTGCAATAACATATGATACAAAGAATTTATAGAAAATCAATTTCATCACATACTGATCAACAGTAAATTTAGTCATTAAGTTCATGTCTGCAGCAATGCATTCCTTCTTCAAAGTTCCTAAATGACATTTTAAAACAAGATGTTTGAAGATGAAGTTACACTTCCAGACAATTCCAGAGAAGTCATGAAGACAGTAACAAACCTGGTCAGGGGTGGGTGGTTGAAGGAAAGGATCAAGAGGGAGGTTGGCATTAGGGAGGAGGAGATTGATTTCAGAGGTAAGTTGACGCCTGAGTTTGCGCACCTCGATCACGGCCTTCTCTCTCAGGCCATACTTGGCACAGAATTTGGACAGAGAGCGAGGACCAGAGCAACTTGCATGCTCTGCTGCCCCTACAGCCTTCAGAAGTACCATTGCATCTCCCAGTAAGAGTGAGTCCCCCTATACAAATGGAACAGTCATCCAGGATTTTATTCACATTTGGTTTTACAATGGATGCAGTCATTGCCCAATCAGCAATAAAAAACTTCACTTATCCTTAAATTCAGAAAGATAATCTTGGTTACCATGCTGATACAGCCTATCTTTTTGTATATTGTACTACTTGCTGGATTCCAATATTATTTGAGTGAATGTTTTTCTTACCATGGTTTACTATGTTAAGTGAGTCATGGCACTCCTCACTCAGACATGTTCTACCTCAAGAATGCCCCTAGGACACTAGATCTGCAACTGGTACCTGCCTCCTCCTGCTCCTGTTCACCCTCCTCATTCTCACAAAGAGCCAATGTTCTCTGTTTGAGACCCCAAATGCCACATACTAAATATCTTGTTCACAGTCAATGTAAAATGTCATTCCAGTCCTGCATTCTTCATAGTTGGAAAATTGAGCATATACAGAAACTGGTTGAGGTACCAAGTGTTGCACATATCAATAGTCACAGATAAATAGACAGCCTCCACAGCCTAAACTATATGAGATATGGAAAAAATTAAGATACAGTTGGAATCATTGTTCAATTTTGATTTGATTGCATCCTATTTTGTTTGAGATGACAAATGATAGTGAAGAACTTTGATTTATTGATCACATCTGTGCTCTGACATTTTGATAAAGCTCCTGATGCCTTAGCTGAATTTTTAAAACCTGTTTATGGGCCCTCTCAGTCCCACATGTGACTCTTTTGCATCATTAAATCCTAAGTTTAACCCTTAAAGCTGTTTGCACATACATCAAATGCTCATCACTTAGGAGGTCGAGTCAAAATTCAGTGCTTGAAGGGTTAAAAGCCTTGGTGACACAGTAATTGAGGAGTTCTCTGGAAAAAGGACACATACGCCCTTTTTCCAGAGAACTCCTCAATTGCTGAAAGGCACAGGGATTGACTTCTTTGGCAATGCAGAATGCTCTGGAATTTCTCCTGATCTGAATGTGGTTGAGAACATTGGGGCTATCCTGAAAGATTGAGTCGAGACTCTCAAGCACATGGATGGCAAGCAGCATGGATTCTCCTGAGAAACCTTGCAAAGCAACATCACCAAAGTGATGGTAATGGAAGATGATACAGAACTCTTTAAGCATCTTACCCTGCTCATCTTAAAGCTATCAGAGATGCTTCTGAGTCACACAAATTACCAGAAGTACATCTTTAGATTTGAAAATGAATGCTCTTTCTCATGATGTCTAAGTTTTTTTCCTTGCTCCTATACAGTGTGATACAAAAGTCACTTGACAAATGAGAAAAAAAAAACTATGTCTAAAATCTTTGTTTTCGCTTTGTAGATGTTCACTAAATATGTGTTACAATTCGCTGTCATGAACTTTTCGGTCGTTTTGACCTAAGTCTCTGCTATCTTAGCCCAACACACGAGGCCAACAAGCAGTGGCGTGGCCAGGGTTTCGCCAATGGGGGGGGCTAAGCAGAATGGTGGGGGGATGCATTTAGACTGGAGTTGGGGAGGGGGGGGGGGGGCTGAAGCCCCCCCCCGCCCCCCAGGGGAAGCCCCAGCTCACACATAGAATGTGCGTTACTGGTCCCAGACTAACCCAGCTTGGATGCGCCAATCGAACAAACTTGGTGCTGAGAAGGTGATGGTGTGGTGTGGTCTGCTTGGTGACATGGTTGTGGAACCACACTTCTTCGAAGGGCATGTGGACCAACAGACATTTGGGCAAGTGTTGGACACAACTGTAGCTGATTTTCTACATGATTTGCCACCGAATACATGATGCAAAATGTGGTTCCAACTGGACGGTGCCACTCCCCACTTTGCTCTCACGAGCCACCAGAAACTGAATAACCTGTTTGGTAATCAGTGGATTGGACAGGGTGGACCTATGTCATGGCCCCCTCAATCACCTGACCTCACTCCCCCAGATTTCTTCCTCTGGGGCTAGTTAAACACCATGTGTTCATGATGTAACCTACATCCCTCAAAGACCACATCACTCCTATTCTTCAGCAAATCACATCAGCAACACTAGCAGCCTTCAGAAATGAACTAAAGAATTGTTTAGAACACTGCTTTGTGGTTCACGGAGAACACTTTGAGCATCTCCCAAATAAAGATTTTAGGCAAAGGGGTTTTATCTCATTTGTCAAGTGACTTTTGTGTCACACTGTAGTTTAAGCTGTGGAGGGGGGAGGCTATCTATGTGCAACACCCAGTACTATAAAAGATCTGCAGAAACATTTGCAGCTTCCCACAGAATTGGCAAATGCCTAATCAGAATACTAGTCCTTATTCTACCCTACTCATTGGGATACAATTATCTAAGTTTCTGATCAAAAGTATATCCTCAACTCTAGTGCCAAGAACTCAAATACCAATTAACAGGACTCTTATCTTGAAAATAAAGCCATAATTGAGTTTTATGTTCAATCATTAGTATACATTTTCTGCAGAAGTTCTTGTAGAGGCATGAATGTAAAAGTGGGACTTCACAGTATGTCAGCATCTATCAAACTCACATTAATAACACTGCTTGTGCTGAAGATGAGAGCTTGGCTTTGTCAGGTCTTGACATTTTGCTATGATTTTCTAAGGTAAAAATGAGCTAGTGTAAGATATTCTGCTAATTTCACATAAGGTATGGATGAACATGCAACTACATCAGTGCAAAATGATGTCCCATAAAATATTTTGTCTAGGCCATAATGCAGAACAACTTGAAAAAACTACATAAATATACGTATAAACAATTCACACGATACTCTTATGCAGAGAAATCTCACAGGAATTCAGTCAATTCTCACTGAAGCCACTAGAAAGCAGGAGGCAGGTCTACCTACCATTATTTATAGCATTCCATTTAAGGTTTTACCTGTCCAACCCATGTACATCGAAGAGCCTGGAGGCGCTTGCGATCATCTTTGTCAGGCCCAGCAGAGGTCTGGGCATTGCCAGTGGTGAGAGGTCTCTCAAGAAGAAGCTCTGGAACAGTCATGGCTGCAACTAGCCATACAGCTAGGGGTAGAAGACCCTGTTGGTGACTCAGAGATAGCATCTTCCCAAAGCGTGGAGATACAGGCAAACTCGCCATTGTCATTCCCAATCCAGTAATCCCCGATGCAAAGTCCCCTGTAAACAACACAAAACATTTTGAATCAACCGCTCTACTACTCATGTGAATGCTGCCTCTAAAAGCTAAAACTCAACAGTTAAATTAATATGTAAATCAAAAGAATGATCAATCAACTTGTAAAAAATTATGGTGGTCTGCATGAATATACATCACATTTGCAAATGAAAATAAAAACAATTTTAAGAGAACATACCCTTGCCATTATCTTCAAGGGCTCCAAGCAGGATCAGTCGTCTCTCAGCTGCTTCAATATTCTCTTGCTTGGGTGGAGAAGGGAAAGGAAAGTTGCAGACCTTGCGGATATTAAGTGCTTTCATTTGGAGAAGGAGATCATCTATAGGCTTCCGCTGGATCTCTGCTTCTGAGTATATCTGCATCTCATCCTTGAACACAGCTGAAGAGTACAACCTGAGAATGACATCAACATGGACTTTTTTGCAATTCCTTGTGTCCACTGTAAAACAGGATATTTGCAATTAGTGATTCTTTAATGTTTGCAGTTCAGTTCTCCACAAATGACAATATCCAGAAGTTATTGTAAACCATGTGATGCATTGTTGCTGGAATCAAGAAACCATTGCAATCACTAATATTGCCAATTGAAGAATCAAAGTTGATCCACACATTGCTATTCTCAGACAATCAATATTGATGAGGAACAAAAGGATATGAGAAGGCCTCTTAAAACAGACCTATAGCAATGACCAGGGCCAACTCGCCCAGCACGTCCAGCCCTCTGATTGGCCGATGCTTGGGATGTCCAGTCAACATGGAATGTGGATACACCAGTGACCTGATCATATACTCGCATCTTTTGCTTCCCACAATCTACCACATATTTGATGTGGGGGATGGTGAGGGATGTCTCAGCTACATTTGTCGCCACCACACATAATCGACTCCCCTCTGGTGGATCTTTGAACACCTACACACATACACAATGGTACTGCAAGAGGAGCACTCCGAATTATGCTAGTATTAACTACTTGCTAAGTTCCTATTCTCATTCTCATTAAGAGCAATCAGAATGTAAGTTTCAGTTGAATTAAAAGAGGTGCAATTGCTTGAAATCTGAAATAATACCCAAGAACAGGAACTGACCAAAAGAATACCCACTGAATTAGTTTTTCTCTTAAGCCATTTACAAAATGGTTTCCAATTTGAGTTTGAAGCACCTAGAGGGATTCATATGATAAATGCAAGACATGCACAAATGATTTAAAAGTTTGCATTGTATCATGCTAGAGCATGTGGCAGAAGGAATAAGAGAAAGGTTACAGCATCAGAAAGGGTTGAAAAAGTTCATGGTAAAATATGTGAAGGAAAAAAATGCAGGGTAAGCCTACACAATGGAGCTATTCCCTAGTTAACATGAGGACATCAGGGCTCACTTCAGCCTGTCGATGGCTGGGTAATATGGAGTAGAGCGGCAGGACATGGATGGGTTGCTCCTTTAATCCACTCTGACAGTTTGACAAGAATGAGTCCATGTCATCATCCAGCAATTCATCATCTCCCAGTCCCAAATCCTCATCTCCAGTCTGTTCATCCAGGGGGACTAGAGGGAAACTAAAAAAAAACTAAGAGATTAGTCATGTAGATTCCTTAAATATTGATGTCATCCGGTTATACATTGAAACTTCATTAAGAAATTTTAATCAGTACCTACTCTTCAAGATGAACCAGAGGAACTTTGTGTCTTTTATGCTTCACAGCCTTGATGGTCTTGTCAAGTTGACTGTCAACATTGTCTTCAGAATCCAGGGTTGCATGGAAGGGAAAGGTTCGCTTGAGGAGACGACACAGGTGATTCACTTCCTGCTGCCCAGTAAGGAAGATCAAGATACCACCCTCTGGGAGGCGGCGGTGGATCTTGCACACTTTCCGGAATGCCTCCTCCACATAATCACTTGGGGTCTGCTTGTTGAAGTGTACCGTCACTGGAAACTGACGTGAGTCCACCTGCAAAAGTTATGAATTAGCATCCAACACTAAATACTATTCAAAACCTAAGATATGCACCTCAGAAACATAGTAATAAAAAAGTATCATGGATCTTATGAGTTAGGGGTTTTTATCAAGAAATGTTATTTCAGTTATGACAAAATGAAAAACCTTTCATTTCGAAACTGAAATTCATGTGAATCCTTCAATATTTTCTGATTTTTTTATTATCAAATTCTCTCTTATCTTCCCCAAATTTCTTTAAATGTTGCACAGTTCATGAAAGTCCTACATCAAAATTTCATGCAGATGTCATGAGCTTCTCTTTTTAAAGCCAAAAAATTAAGACCAAAAAAACAATCATTCCATTACAAAGAGTCCATAGTACTGAAGCTAGCCAGTCTTCATTCTTTCCCACATTATATACCTTCTATAGTGTTTTCACTTGAGTCAGACAATTTTTCACTTGACTCTGACACACCTGCATGAGGAAAATCCTATGTGAGTCAAGTGAAAACCATTGTATCTGAAATTGGAAAGTGCAATGAATAATCAGGCAATGGTAAATCATTTCCTTAGATATTCATTCTTATGAGGTCTGTAGGGCATCTAAAATCCATGAATCCACAAAAGAGTCAGTGGGGCTGAACTGGTTCAACAATGGAAGAAAAGGGAAAAATCCAGAATGTGAGATCACTTCTTGCCAATACCCATCAGTGTCCATCATCAATAGCATTGATGGTTTCAAGTAGCACTCAAACATCTTTCTATCTGATTGGAAAGAAAGTTCTCGGAATTTCATGAACAATTATTACAACCCAGTTTATTTAAAAGCAAAATCATCTCAATCATGAATGTAATCACCATTGGCCTCTATCACTTCACGCCAACGTTTATGCAAACTATGGATGCCATTCCAATAGAACTCTGGCGGCTGCGCTAC